TTGTAAGGACAGTGCAGAGTCTTCTCAGAGGCAGAGGATATTACTTAAGGTGTAGTCCTTTGATAACATTGACATGGCTTTGTCCTGTAACACCTCACATTCTGTGTATCCACGCATAAAGGCAATGCCAGCAAACTCTGCCTACAGTTTACAGCCATACAGAGTAATATGTTTTGTGTGTATATACGTGGTGTATATGTACTCTGTATACACACTGTAGTATAGCTTAGCATGAGACACTAAGAACTGTTGATGACTTCTGAAGTTGGGAAAAATAGACTTAGAGACTGGTTAAGACTTTTTTAGTAGAAAGTTAACTTGGAATTCCTGACAGGCAAGCATGTCCTGTGTTGCTGCTTTGTAAAGATAAGTTCCTATTTTTATCTTCAGACCTGGTCAATCTAAAATGGCTTATTTCTGTAGTGCCTGCAAATGCTGTTGTTTTGAGGATTGTCAGTATTTCAGCACTGTCTGTCGAAGAGGAGAAATAAGAAAGGTAAACGTTTTTCCTACCTGGAGTGTAACAGCATTACTGTTTGGACTGAAATAATCTCTCAAAACTTATGTATTTGAAAAAAAATTTAAAAAGGCAAAATGTCAACGAACTGGCTTTGGAAATACATACTTTCTTTGTGAAGGAGCAGATGAGATATTTTTAAGTTGAGTTTCCAGTGAGTTTCATCTCTGACACTGTAAGATCTAATAATTTGCTTTCTAGATCTAATAATTCTAATCATTTGCTTTTCTACTTTAATAGTGACTGGTGAAGGTAGTGGCAGGATTTTGATTCATTCAGTGAGAAATGCACAAAGGTGTGTTCAAACAAATTCCTTTGGTTCATTGCTGTTCTGAATTGTACTGGCACACCTTCTCGGTGGTGTTTACCTTGCTGTGAATGCATGTAAGGTGACCTTTTTTGGTCAGCACAGTACAGCTCTATGATCTAGTCATGCTTCTTTTGTACTAACAAACCTGTTATCCTAAGTCAGCTGTTTTTCCCAATGTGTTTGTGTCTGTCTTTTGTACAGTTATGGTCACTTTTGTGGGTCATCAGTTCAGATGTGTAGTTAAAAGCCTGACATAGAGGAACGGGGCCTTTAGGTCATGCTGTTCAACTTCTGAGGTCATGCTGTTCAACTTCTGTAAACTTAGTATTTTGTAGAGTAGGCAGGGTCAGCTTTGTGATCTGTGCTGATGGTAAATGCTTATCTGTTTAGCAAGGGGTATTGCGGGAGTGTAGTGAGGACTGGCTGCTCTCGAAGGTGGGAGCTTTACCAGCCAGGTAAACATTGAAACCCTGAAACATTGCCCTGCCTCAAGGTGAGCTGGACATGCCAGGTGATGGTAACAAGGTTCAACCAAGAGTCCAGATCATCAGGAAAGTTTGTGGTGATGAGGCAGGTCAGAGGACAAGCTGGGAAGTCAGACCATGGATCCCGTTGAGGGTCAGGCCTGGGGAGCGTGAGAGACAGCCCAGTGATATCTCCAAAGCACCATGGTGGCAGGGCAGGACTGAGCTCAGGAGATCAGTCTGTGGGCTGGGGCTTGGACTAGGGGTCCCGTGGCCAGGTAGGGGCACAACTGTCTGAGCTGGGGACTGGCACTCCTACGACATAGCTTAGACAGGGACTGAGGGTCACGCAGTGAGCTGAACTGGGGCTCCAAGGCCCGTGGGTGAGGGGTGGATGGATACACCCCGGCTGAAGCTGGACAGGGCCTGTGATGCTTAGTAGTGCCCTCAGGGCCCTGACAGGTCTTTAAAACCTGTATGAAAGTAGTGTTATCTTGGGAAAACTGACACAGCTGAAAAGCAGTGTGACAGTAAGTATCAATCCCAGATCTTTTTAACTTTCCCGTCTGTGAGATACTTTACTTCAAAGTATGTCAACTGGAGCCGTACCCAGATAAACAGTGCATAAGTGCTCTTGGAAGAGTTTGAGCTTTGCTATTGTCTTTGATTCACCAAATACACGCAATTTGTCAGTCACTTTTGACTGAAAGCTGAACACTAAAGCTCAAGTTTAAGGTGTGATAAAAAGTAATGCTTTTGTCCCCCAGCTCTATAGCAGTGTGAAATTGTGAGGGTTTGTATGTCTGCGTTTTTCCTGAACCCAGTTCAATGACATCTGTCTCTGCAATAAGTGAGCTAGGGAACTGCAATGCACTTTATTTGAAGCTGCCTTTATGAACCTCGTGTTGACTGCAGCCAGTGCCAAGTATGACAGTGTGATTTATACCCACAGTGATGCCTGGGTCCCGTGAGTTGTGTTGATAAGAATGCTCAGTGAACAAAAGCTGGCTTCCTAGTGTATTGTGCTGTCAAGCCTTAATACATTTAAGTGTGATAAAGAACAGATTTTTTTTCTCTTTTTTCTTCTTATTGAAGTAGTGCAACTTGAAGCTTAACTATGAAGGTAGTTTTCAAGTTTTCCATTTAAAATCTCCTTGTCTGTTCACCATATTTGGCTGGAACAATCCACAGCTGGAAATCTGTGATTATCCATTCATTTTCCATTCTTACCAGGGACAGCCAGCTCTGAGGAAGACAAAATAGTATGTCCCAGGGGCTGAGACAGCAGCCTGGAGGAGTATCGCTATACCGGGTCTCTTTGTTTGGCAGTGGTTGGAGACAGAATTATCTCGGATCCAAACTGATCGCGTGATGTATCCAGAGCTCAGTTGCAGTTGTGTTATGGAAGAATCCATCCCAGACCAGTGGAGACAGTCCACTAGTCTAAAAAGATCTTGGAATAACAGGGAAGTAGTAAGCTGTGAAGAAAAAGAAAAAATATTATAAAGCTCAGTACTGTAGCTGGATGCTCAGATATTATGGTGTGAAGAGAGTATTAGTAAGAACTGGTTTGGAAAATTCCACCAAGGTGGAAAAGAGTTATGGCCCTACAGCTTCTTTTGGGGCTGTCCGAAGCTCACAACCGAACAACAAAGTAGTGATGAGTTTCATGAGTCTTAAGTATTAATTTTTTTCAAGTGCTATTGAACAAAAGTGAGGCTCTTCATGGGTGAATTTACCAATGCCGTTATTCTGAAACTCTGCACAATATTGTGTGAAATGAAACATTCTGTATTTTAAAAACACTGACACATTGAATTTTTTGGACTGTTTCCACGTGCTATGTTATTGACTTGCTATTCCTGCCTTTGTGCTGCTGGCTTGCCAGTTTTGGATTTCTTGTGAACCCCTCGTTCCTGATTAGGCAATACTGCTTTAGAGGGAAAAAGTAACTTGGGAGGGCATTTGAATTTGATTGTTTGCAAATGTTATGCAGCAAAGTAAGAAACGGTTAAGAATAGAAGCCAGCTAGACTGAAGTGTTGCATTCACTTACCATTGTGTCTGTAGGTCTGTAGCTTCCTTGCAGTGCACAAGAAAAGGGGGCATTCTGTTGTCTTGTCATTTGATTGTCAAAAAGGTAGATTCACTAATTAGAACAAGACTCCTCGTTTAACAATAAATAACACTTTTGCTGAGAGTACGCTGGATAAATTGCAGATGCTTTACCAAGGTTGGAGGTGCTTTGGTATTTGGATCTGAGCACACTGGGCAATGATGCCAGTCCTGCACAGTGGCGATTCATTTATATATTTCTTTATTGAAAATGTAAAAATATGTTATGTATTAACATGCCCAAGAGAATAACTCAGTTTTCTAATTCAGATGATCGGCTAGCTGGTGAAACAGTTGTCTGCTTCTGTTCAAGGCTCCACTTCTCTCTCTCTCTCTCTGTGGTGTCTTGTTTGTTTGTTTTTTACAGTAACCCTGAGATTTGCAACTTAGCCTGAGGGAGTAAGACGCAATCCCATGTCCAATGCATATCTTGCAGTAAATGAGATTTAAAAAACACAGGACTGCTTCATTTAATATTGAATGCTCTTTTCTTCAGTCATAAACATACAAACTTAGGCAGTGAGAAGTCGATACTGTGGCGCTTTTGTAAATGATACATATAGAGCCTGATGCAATGAAAAGGAAAATAATTAGAAAGACTTCAGCTTGTTTTGGAGCAGACTGTGAGCAGCTTTGCATGCGTTTTGTCATTCGTTCTTCGTTGTGCCTCTTCTCAGTGTTTGAAGCTGGTGCCACAGGCTTTTGTTGTTCTGATGTGCTGGTTTGCTTTCCTTTTTTAAATTCCCCCCCCTGAATTTAACTGTCTACTTCATCTAAGCCATTCTGCAAATATCTATTAGGTTTTTTCCCGAAGGGACAAGGTGCAGAAGGAGAGTGGGGAGAATGCCTAGAGTAAAATAGGGTGAGACAGGAGGCTCCTTACAGTCCGGACTGTATGGTTGTCCCAAAGTCCATAACTTTCACCAGTCCAAGTAACAGATCCCAAGCTTCATTCCTAGAAATGGTTAAATCTGATGTGGTAGCTCTGTCGAGCTGTGTGTTCCTTGTTGTCTGGGCTTGGGAGAAACAGTAGCACTTCAGAGAGATGGTTTCTCTCAGGCATCTTTTTAATTTCCATACCTTCCATGCTTCCCATTTCCTGGGAGTACAGGTACTCATCCCTGACCTGCTGCTCCTTTCTGCAGTGTGCTTGAGACATGCGCTGGTGGGGCAGAGAACCAGACACAGGAAATTTGTTTAGATGCAACAATCACAGAATTCTTTACTTAACCCTGTCTGCACCTCTGTCCTTCTCTATTGCTTATGAAGAAAGACATGTCTGGGAGGAAAGACAGCTGATTTCTAGACCAAATTTCTCATAGGAAAACTGCTTAAAAATGAGTGAAATGTGGACAGTTTCTGGTGCTGGTTAGAAGACACAATATAAATTGGGTTTGTTTGACAGATTTTGTTCATTTCTTGTGATACAGAGATGATTCAATTCTAAGTACTGTTGTAGTCCATTTTCACAATCTTTGATGAATTTAACTCAATGTTTCCTTAAACAGAGTAGAAATAGAAGGAGAAATGTTTATACATTACTTGTCAGTTTTGAAGTGCTTTTGGAAATAAATAGCATGTTCTTTTGCTGACAGGATTTGAAATCTAGCAATCAGCGAGATGAAATTGCTGCAGCACGTGCATCCCTGAAGGAAAATTCATCTCTCCTACATTCAATATGTTCAGCTTGTTTGGAACATTCAGATGTTGCATCCCTTACAGCCAGCAAGGACTCAATTTGCAATGAAATACAGAATGCTCTCAGCATAATTTCTAATGCTTCCCAAGGAGTTGAAAATAAAATGGAACAACCAACATCTCACACAGCTACTCTTGGAAGTGCACTTGATGAACTTGAGGTACGTAAACCTGTGAGACTGGAATGTTTTTGGAAAACTAGTTTATTTCATTTAAAAAAAACCCAACTGTTGCTATCATAAGTGATGGATCTAAAGGCGTTAGAAACTGATGCTCTGCTTAGTTGTAGTCTTAACAGTATCTCTCTAATTTCATTGGTAGGGATTGCTTCCTTCAAGAGTTTGGAATTAAGTCTTTGTTCAGTATTTCGTAGAATTGTAGAATGTGTTGGATTGGAAGAGACCCTTAAAGCTCATCCAGTCCAGCCCCCTACAGTAAGCAGGGACATCTTTAACTAGATCAGGTTGCTCAGAGCCCCATCAAGCCTGACCTTGAATGGCTCCAGGGATGGGGCCTCCACTACCTCACTGGGCAACCTGTGCCAGTGTTTCACCACCCTCATATTGAAGAACTTCTTCCTAATGTCTAATCCAAATCTACCCCATTTTAATTTAAAACCATTGCCCCTTGTCCTATTGCTACACGACTTTGTAAACAGTCCCTCCCCAGCTTTCTTGTAAGCCCCTTTCAGATACTGAAAAGCCACTATGAGGTCCCTCCACAGCCTCCTCTTCTCCAGGCTGAACAATCCCAACTCTCTCAGCCTGTCCTCACAGGAGAGGTGCTCCAGCCCTCAGATAATTTTTGTGACCCTCCTCTGGACCTGCTCCAACAGTTCCATGTCCTTGTATTGAGGGCTCCAGAGCTGGACACAGTACTCCAGGTGAGGTCTCACCAGCACGGAGTAGAGGGGCAGAATCACCTCCCTTGATCTGCTGGCCATGCTTCTTTTGATGCAGCCCGGGATGTGATTAATCTTCTGGGCCTTGAGTGTGCATTGTTTGCTCATGTCCAGCTTTTTGTCTGCCAGTACCCCCAGGTCCTTTTATGCGGGGCTACTTTCTATCAAATCATCCCCCAGCCTGTACTGATAATGAGGATTAGCCCGACCCAGGTGCAGGACCTTGCACTTGGCCTTGTTGAACCTCATGAGGTTCACATGGGACCATGTCTCCAGTTTGTCCAAGTCCCTCTGGATGACATCCAATCCCTTTGACACATCAACTGCACCACTCAGCTTGGTATCATCTGCAAACTTGCTGAGGGTGCCCTAAATCCCACAGTCTATATCACTGATAAATATGTTAACAGCACTGGTCCCAGTACGGACCGCTGAGGGGCACCACTTGTCACCCACCTCTACCTGAACATTGAGCATTTGACCACTACCTTCTGGCTGAGCTCATCCAACCAATTCCTTATCCACTGAACAGTCTACCCATCAAATCCGTATCTTTCCAACTTAGAAGGATGTTGTAGGGGACTGTGTCAAAGGCCTTGCAGAAATCTAGCTAGATGACTTCCATTGCTCTTCCCTTATCCACTGATGTAGTCACTTCATTGTCGGAAGCCACTAGGTTTGTAACTATTTGACTTCCTTTGAACAGCAGGCAAGAATTAGTTCCAAGTGTGTCATGCATGGTGGAGACAGATACATGTTCTTCTTCAACAAGTGGGCAGAACCCATGCATTTAGTTTACAGATAACTGTGATTGTCCGATGATGGTGGTCACTGCTGCCTTCACTGCATTTAAACTAGTACAATGCAAACTGAAGTCCTGTACTCTGAAACTTGTCATATTATACAATTTATGTAATTGGAGGATTTAGAAACCTAATTATGTTTTCTGCTTATCATTAAATAGAATGCCATAACCAATATGATTTCACAAATTGTACATTTCTACTTCCATTATTTAACCAAATACCTGGAGAAAGTCCGTTCTTTCTTTACTCCTGACCTGATCTTAAGCTTTTGGATGTAGCTTTCGCATTTTTCTCATGGCTGCTCTGGCTCTTACCAGTGTTATTTTCCATTGTCCTGCCAAAAATGGTAAAAGACCTCCTGCAGATGAGATTACATACCCTGCTCCTCATCTGGAGTAACTGATCCAGGCCCAGATCAAGAAAAGGTTTGAAAGGATCAACAAAAGGAATTCAAGTTTCCAAACACCTTTGGAAATATGGGTCTTTTTGGTAGTAAATTCTTAAACTTATCAGATCTCTGCCTTGAAACTGCAATATTGCTGATACATTTTCAGTAGAGTTGATGTTATGACTGATGAGAATAGATTTTGTCTAAAATTTTCAGTGAAAGGTTAGAGAAATACATTGGAATCCATACGTGGCACAAATCTTGTAGTGGCATTTTATTGATCAAAACAGACCTCTCAGGCATGCTCAGAGTTGAATTGGAGAGGTTTTTTCCTCCCCAAAGGAGCAGGCTACAATTGCACGTTACATTTCATCCTTTCTTGAATCTTACACTGGGTTTTAGAATTACAGTTTCTAATCTATTTTAGTAAATATTTCTATTCTATTTGTAGTAAATGGAAGAAAAATACCCATTTAAGAGTAATACATGATTTGTTATAATGAAACTCTGAATGGCAAATGATAAACATTAAATGAGAGCTGTTATTTGCCTGTTTTACTTACACATTTTTAAACAGAATTTGGCAAAAGGATTGCATCTCCTGACTGCAGATGAATCTTGACTGTATGTGAGCAGTACTATTTTAATGCTTTTTAAAATGTAATTAAATTTGTTATTGTTTTAAAATTTAACAGTTATGATAATCACAAACTGGAAAAAAATGTCTTTTCAGTTGATTTTGTTTTTATTTGGAAACATAGGACTATAGAAATATGTCGTAAAAAGCCATTTGTTTATGGAGTTTCAAGTATTATTTTACTTTAATAACATAAATGCAAATTGAAGATGTGCAAGTTAGATAAAGCACAATTTGTAGAGCATTTAACTTATTAAAATGATTTTATGAATTAGTTGGTTGCACTCTTCTTTCTTTTCAGAAAGTTCTATTGGCTAAGGACCTGAAATAACCTTTGCTCTATCTTCTCGTTGCAAATACAGTGCCGTGAAATATTATAGGTTGATGTAGTAAATAGTCTGCTGGGAACAAGTCTCATTAAATGTTCATAGTGTGGAAATGTATCATGGAGCTTACCCAACAGTCTGGTATCTAGATGTTTTGTAATGTCATTTTTCCTTTGCCAGTGCTGGCAGTGTGAAAGTTATTACAGATTTATAGGTGAGGAAACCACCAGTAAAGTTAGAGCAGCTAACTCTTAAATCAGTAGGTTCTCAAGAATTCTTCTTTAAGGCTCCGTATAACTACCATATCATTCATAAACAAACAGAAAATTATAACATTAAAAACTTAACTGCATATTAAGATCTCTGTTAAAAGAGCATGTAGGTGCGGGTTATTTAATACTTTCATTGTCTTGAGTCTGTTGAATAGAAAGAGATTTCTCACAAAATTCTACAAGTCTTGTATGTCTGACTCTGTCGGCATATTCATCTGATATGTGGTCTTTTAATGATCATGGCTATCTAGCAGAGCAATTACATATGAGAAGTTAAAATACTGTAAATCAGTCCAAAATGTCAGGAAATATAACCAGGTTTCTGGATACCCACGATCGCTCTTTTTCAGTGATCAGAAGATCGATGAGGAAGAAAATAGAGATCTAATAATTCTGTTTAAATGCTCGCATACGTTTAGGAACCCAGTTAGCTAACCACTGTCTAGCTCTAATAAAGCTAAACCAAAGAACTGCTTGTTGCATATCTGGTGTCTTCTGATTAGTTGGAAGTTGGATCATCTTTTCTGTGTATATGTACTGGTCACGAATGTTTGATGAAATTGCTTGAAGAATTTCATCTGTAGGCAGAATCTTAAGTTGTGTTTTCCTGGTTATTGTTGCCTAGTGTTTTGTTTTGTTTTAATTCAGAACTGAACTGTAGTAGTTTTTTTGCCTGTGCTATTTGTCCATCTTTGCATGAACTTTCCACAAATTGTCTCCTTAAAGAAAACATTGCTACTCCTGTTTCATCTGTCATTTTGCTAGCTAAATGGCTAACTGGCTGTAGCCTTCAGGTGTGTCTTAGTCTTTCAACTATTAAAGAAGCGGATTCTGTATTAACTCTTAAATATTCTACTTGGCAGGTGTGTTTTACATTATGAGGGATATTATATGCATAGCCTAGTTCTGAGGGTGCTTACTTGAGATATAGGAGTGCAACAGTGAAGTTGCTGCTCCAGTGAATAGTGAGCAAGTGGCAAGACTCCAGCAGAGGCGAGGTGCTCCAGAACACTTTGATATTAAGAACTGTAGAGGGAATGAGAGAGGGAGGTTTTCAAATCTCTAACACAAATAAACCTGTCTTCTGTGTCAGAAATGGATGTCCTGACCTCTGGATACTGGCTTAGAGTGCCTTCCCTTGTCATTCTTAGACAATCATTGTGGATGAGTTTTTCATGTGTAAGATTAGTTTGAAATGATCTATTGGGTGTAAGTTATGTATTTTTAAAAGGTAAATATTTAAACATTAATGACTAGCTTTATGCAGTTTTCTAAATCTTCATTAATATGCTAATTATTAAAGTCAAAGCTTTTCTTTTAAATTTGCTGTGTCTTTGGATATAGCCAAAGTAGCAAAGACCTAGATAATGCAGTCATTAAATACTTGTCCTGCAGGAAAACAGAGCTCTTACTGCTGAGAACTATTTTGATTTTGCTTTTGAAGTTATGCATTCTTAGTTAGAGAGGCAATAGCTGAAAGGGGTTAATTTCTCCTCCATTTCAGAGTCCTTAATGGCACTTCTTACCACTTCTTTACAATTTCCTTTGCTGCATTTCGCTAATTTCCTGAAATGCATATTGTGTTTTTAAGGCAAGCATCAACTTAGCCTGCCTCCAGGTAAATAGGGTGCAGCTTTCCTTTGCATTCAGCCATAATCTCACTATTGTTAGGAAGCAAAGAGAAGAAAGGATGGAAAACTGGATGCCCATACTATACTCTTAATGTGTCTCTAAGTTATTGTTGTGAACAAGTGATCTCTTACTGCCTTCAGCCTTCCAGAAATGTGTCTTCAGGTACATTATATTCTCTTAATTGCAGTAGGGAAGCTTCTGATGACAACATTAAGAGCTGGATTACTGTTCCTATCGGGCATTGGCAGTTCTGTTGTCTGCAAAAGCAAAATGACTTCCTGTGCTGTTGCCTAGGAGAGCCAGTCCAGTTCCGTCTGCTGCCAGCAAGAAGTTGGGGTATATGGAGACGCTTCAGAGTAGAAGAGCAAGCCATCTTCATTCTGTCCAAGCCCTCTTTCTTTTCTTTGGATTTTAGCGTCCATTGACAGGGTCTGCCAGGCCCTGGCAAAATTTCAGCTTTTCTTTTTCTTGGAGAAGGCAAAATTCAGATTTTTTGTAACTATTGAGTAGTTCTTAACTGGCTCCAACTTCTCTGCTTCTACAAAAGAGGATGAAAGCATTGGAGTGCCTATTTCCTTTGCTCTGGCTTTGTGAGTGGACAAATTATGGTACTATCCCAGCTTGGCTTTGGTTCCAAAGTTGTATGTGAGATTAATGTTTTCATAATCAATATATTTTTCACATCTTTCAATTATGAAATATTTCAGAGATACAAATAGGGTTAAAATGTTGCTTTTATGGATGTACAAATAGCTGTGTTTTTAATCTTCAAAATATTTAAGCTCTTTCTCTCCTGCTTGCACATAAACTCCTTTCTGATATAATATACGTATCTGGATAGGTAAGCACTGGTTTGAGAAAATCCAGGTACTTGAAAATACATAGTGAATACTTTAACTTAATCTAATTTTACATCTGCTGAGAGCCCATAAACACCTGACATAGACCCATAAACCATTTTAGTGGGCTAACCTGTCACTTGCTGAAATAAGTCCATAACCTTAGTTTTAGACTTTTTATAGTCTCTCAGAATAGACAACAGAAAATGGCACTAGCAGCAGCACTGGCCTGGTTTTTTACGATACTCTGCAGTGGTATGAATGTCCCAAAATTCGACACAGAAAATGTGGAGACAGGCAGAAATTCGCTGGTACCTTTTCTTTCTAGTCATTGTCTGTAGAAATGTGAGGACTAGAGTTCATGTACTCCTGGTTTGTGGTACAAAGCATAACATAAGCCTGGGGCTTTGGGCCTCTGAAGGTCTTAGAGGTTATTGAAGAAGGTTCAGTGTCCACTGATTTTTTTGTATGTAAATAGGTAATAAGTATGGGGCTGAAGTGCTGAGAGTGTTTAAATAACTAGAACACGTCTAAATTCTTTTAAACTTTCACCCTTCAGGGCAGTGAAACAGTAGCAGAAGTAGAATGTTTAGAAACCTACACTGATCCTGCAGGGTGGGAAATACGAGCTTCCATTTGAATGTCACGGTAATGCAGAAAGATCCTGCAGTGGTTTCCTTTGGAAATAGTCAGATTATGAGGTGTGATTTTTCTCAGGTTTTGCTGGAGAATCTCCCGACTGTCTAAAAACAATTCATGTGTATGTCAGAAAAGATGGGAGGATTGAACATGCAGTAAAGTCTTCCTTTCCCTAAATGATAGCCAATGTGTAAGAGAGTGTTAGTAATAACCAACTTTAAAATTTCAAGGTGACTGAAGTCCCCTTTCACAGCTGTTGAAGTTTTTATCTTATGGTGTTTTAATAGAACATTTTCACCACACTTAGAATTTCCTCAGCTAGACAGTGAAATTGTGATATTGGATCTAAATTGAAAAAATAATTTAAATTCTTCAGCTTAAAATTAGTCTGGCGCATACTGGATAAGCACAGATAAGTTCTCATTTACCTGACCTAAATTCCACTTAAGGGTATATGGCATAGTTTTCTTGTTTCGTATTTCTTCTGGAAGCCTGGAACTAGATATGGATGTAACAGGTGACTGGATTTATGTGGAATTGAATCTTGGTGATCTGGACCATAATGACACTGTTTCAATGTTCAGTTAGACTAAAAATTACTGACTAGAATTTCTTTAAGTGGTCAAATATACTGTCATATTTAATTAAAATGCCACCTCTCCTTTTCTTTCTCTTTAGCATATTTGCCTGACATACAGATGTCTGCTTTTTTTTACCCTAGCTAGTGATAAAGCAAGAGGAAACTTGTATTTGTGAAAAAACATATGTTGAACAGAAGCTACTACTTTGATCTTTGCCCATATTCAGTCTGTTCAAGGTAGCAGCAGTGACTTTCTGCCACAATGTGCGATTCCATTAGACTAAAAGTCAGCAGAACTAGACTGCTCATGCAGTCTGATTTAACATTTTTAGCTGTGAGCTGGCACTGCTGTTTTTGTGTTAAATCCGGATGTTCTCCTGATCACTAAAATTCTGAAGTTTGGGTGTGTTGAACCCCTTTTTCAAACAAAGCTGAGACTCTGGTCTGAGATACCTGTATAAAACACGGAATATTACTGAGTAGTAAACTCAGTGCCATAATTGTGCATGGAAAATACAAGCTTAGTGTATGATACGTATCTTCTTAAAATTTATACATGCAAGACAGGCCTGCTGTATGGGAGGATAAAGAAGACAGATGACCCTCAAGAAGTGCAGACAGACATAGGAAATAGTTTGGAATAAGAAATGTTTTTTTTACAACTGCAGTGACAAAACTCAAAGAGGAGAAACAATGCTGGCTGAGAACTTGGCAAGATGGCACGCAGTTGCCTGTTTTAAGACGTACCTTCTGTGTGGCCATAAACCTGGCAGTTGGGGTGTCAGTTCTTTGCTTAGAAAATGAGGTTGGTAGCTTTTTTGTTGCAGAGTAGGATGTTGTGAAAGTGATAAGTATGCATGCATGTTTATAAAGGTAGACAAATAGTGTTTCTGTTTCCAGAAGAAAACAAGTGAACTTGTAGAAGAAGAAAGGCCAGGTACAGGTGTAGGAGAGGCTGAACCCAAGGATGAAAATCTTGAATCTCATGCAGAAAAAGTAGTAGGAACCAGAGGAAGGACTCGAAGATAGGGCAGTTGTAGTTAGAAGATATCAACATAGGCTGCAGGTAGATGAGATCTTATTCTGCTTTTTCTGTGAGGTGCTTTGGTGTGAATCACTCTGGCTGGAAAGCTCTGTTGCCGTCTTAGCACTGAGTTCAGGCTTGTAGGATTTGGTAACATGGATACTGGCTTAAAAATAGTGAGAGCTGAATGGCAGAGAGAACTTGGCTTTGTCCGCAAATGATCTGTATGCATAGCCCCAGTGTGGGAAACTATCTGCCATGGTCAAAAGTATTTTGAATACTTCAAGGGGAAAGGGCTAGTTGCAGGTCTAGGAAGCATACTGGCACTGTAGTTCATGAAAGTTAAAAATAAGGCAACAACTTAGTTGGGCTGACTTTTCTTACCTGTACTTCTAATGTTTTGCAGAATTTAATTATCTTGGATCCTCTTGTAATGAATGAAGAGAAAATAAGGCCATCACTAGAGAAACGTCTGGAAGCTATTATCAGTGGAGCGGCTTTGCTTGCTGATTCTTCCTGTACGCGGGATTTTCATCGAGAACGCATCATTGCCGAATGCAATGCTATTCGCCAAACTCTGCAAGACCTGCTTTCTGAATACATAAACAATGTAGGTAACCAGACTTTTTCCTTTTTTAAATGTCTGTCTCAAAGCCTATTTTAGTGTATGTAACAATTTAACCTGTAATTAGTGTAAATTAGAGTTTAACCTATAATTATAAGTGTGCCCTTTAAAAGGTTGAAAGGAATATTTTTCTACATAAATTGAAGCAAAAGCTAAATATGGACCCCCAGAAACAGTACAAAAACTATTGTGTCGTACAGCCTGTGTAAGAGCACCAAGGTGCAAGTGAGGAATGACTTAATTGCTAAATTAAAAAGCTAGAACTGTTTGGTAAATCCAGAAATCTGTTTGTCTGGCATGCTTATGGGACAATTAATCTGTGAATTTTGGAAAAGGAATATGGTTTGATTGTGTTTTAAAAATAACTATTAAATTTAAATAGTGGATTTGGCACTTCTTATGTCTGGCAGTTAAATGATAAAACAGTGGAGGCTTGGATACTATTAATATGGTTACATGCTGCTAATACCATGCTTTTCCTCTGGAAACATTTTCTATAGGCAAACTGTTCTCATCTAAAGATACTTCAAGATGATTCATGGAGAGGTCTGGAAACATTTTCTATAGGCAAACTGTTCTTATCTAAAGATACTTCAAGATGATTCATCTAGCACATGGAGAGTATAATTGTATGGTGCAGCTATTTGTTTCCTTTCTTTGGAAGCTGAGATTCCTTTCTATTCTGTAAGATATACTAGTGAACCCAGTCCAAAGTTGTTCTAATGAGACAGTTTTCTTTGTCTTATCCTGTTGTCATTAGGATCATGAAGTGTAGGGACTAAGATAATCCGTGCGTATCAGATGATTTTTCATTTCACAGGTGTTATACTTGTTTATTTTTATTTATGAGGGGGTCAAGGGTGAGTGGGATTTACAGCTAGTTAATTTTCTGTGAATTCAAGTTGCTCTTTAGTCCCTATGCCAGATAAAGATACTTTCATATTTCTATTCAAAATGTAGCTGCAGTTTCCGTTGAATGCAACATCATTATTGAACCTCTTTACACATGGGTTAACTGTGTGAGATTTCTTTAGCTCTGGTTAGCTTGGAATGCTGGTCTTTGATACCTTCTTGTAGATATCTGTTATGATATCAGTTCTAGGGTGGATCAGGTTTGCTGTTAAGTGGTTGAAAGTTTAATAAGGGAAGTGCTCAGCCTGTTGTAGCCAGAGTGAGTGAGAGTGCAAATGTGGTATAAAGCAACCCATACTAGTCCAAAAGATCACTGTGGGTTTGTCGCAAGAACCCTTTAGGGGAATTCTGTGTCTTGCAGGAGTAAAACTACATGATTGTAAGTCAAATGGTCTTAAACTCTTGGACTCTTGAAACAAAATTGTGATTATCTTTTCTATTTCAGAAATAATCATGGTTTTAGGCTTATGTAATGCAGACTAAGGGGAAAAGAATAATACATAACCCACCTCCCTGACTTGAGAAATTCAGGAAGCAGGTAGTTAAATATGGCAAAAAGGGAAAGTGTCGTGTAACTTGCTGTAGAACACGGTGTCTGCACAAGGTGACAAAGACAAGGAGAGAAGCAGAAAGGAAGAAATACAAAAGATTTAAGGGTATGAAATGTTATATTAGGGTCAAATGAAAGGAGTGAATTTTTAGTTTCTTATAGCGTTCTTGGTCTGCTTATACAATTAATATTGATCTCA